GGGGGGGGGGGGGTCAACGGCATCCGCATCCTCGTGGAAAGCACAAAGCGACAAAATCTCATAGTGTTCAAGATGCCTACCTACAAGATCGCAATGTTGTAGCGATACCCACTCTGGGCCACTGACCGGGCAGCAGTGGCGGCGGCCAGGGTCAAGGTCACCCGGCAGGCTCGGGTCGCACCACTTTACTCAGCGCCGAGCGTGACCGCGGCAGGACATGACGTCACGCAGGCTAAATCGGCCAGTGGAAATACGCCTCCAATTCCCAGCGCTCATAGCCTGCAGCCTGTGCAGTGGCCTTGGGCGACCAGCGAGCCAGTCTTCTTTTAGAGGGGTGTCGTTTGCATCGCGTCACGCTTCTTGTTGCACATTGCACATTGCACAGTATCCCACATGGATGGCGTGCGCATTGATTGATGATGCACCACGGCTTCAATATTTTACAGTTAGTCCTTTGTAGAAGAGCGAAGGAAGGGGGGGAGGGGTAGCGGTCTGTTAAATATATTTGGTGATTTAGCGATGTTTTTTTATTTTTAATCAAAACCTTTTTAAAAAATAACACATGCACCGATTGCACAAATAATGCCGTGAGCAGCAAAACAAAAATATTGCAGAATTTAAAAAAAATACAAACAACATCCTTATATAGATCTAGATCACAGCCGTGGTTTTTAAACTCAATACATGCATATAGTTGGATACAACACACACAGCAATTCTAGGTAGACACCCACTCAAACCTTGTATTCTACAAAATCAGGCCATTTTTGAATTATTCAATTCTTATCATAGGTATTAAGAAAGTCTGTTAGACGCGGGCAGCTACTTGCAGGTGGAACCCGTTCTTCGGCCTCGGGAAGAAGGACTTTTGATCAAGTTCGACCTCGGGCTCGTACCTGGGGCCCGGAGTGAACACGAAGTCCCGGATGAGGAGCGCGAGGGCGAGCCGCATCTCCAGCAGCGCGAAGCGCTCTGCGATGCAATTCCTGGGGCCCTCGCCGAAGGGCGAGAAGGCGTAGGGGTGCCTCGCGTCCTTGGCCTCGCGCGTGTGGCGGTCCGGGTCGAAGCGCTGCGGCTCCGGGAACTGGTTCTCGTCCATGGCCGCCACCTGGGTCAACACGAAGACCATCTGCCCCTTGTCGACGACGACGTCGCCCACCTTGGTGGTGGCGTTGCACTTGCGGATGAGCATGCCGACGGGGCTCCAGAGACGCATGGCCTCCAGCAGCACGCGGTTCAGCAGGTCCATCTGCTTGAGGGCGGCGTAGGTCAGCTCGCCGTCGTGCTGGCGCAGCACGCCCCGCACCTCGTCGGCCAGCTTCTGCTGCAGCTCCGGGTCGACAGACAGCTTGTTCAAGGCGAAGGAGATCGTGTTGGCCACGTTGTCGAGGCCGGCGATGAAGAAGACGAAGCCCTGCGCCGCCATCACGCCGTAAGTGAGCTCGATGTGGTTCTCCGGGTCCACGTGGGCCAGGTCCTCGGTCCGCAACTGCATCATGAGCTGCACGAAGTCGTTGCGCTCCACGTTGTTCTTCTCGCGGTACTCGACCGTGTCCTTTATAAGGTTGACGAAGAAGTGATGCACTCGGGAGAAGACCCACTTGATGGGCAAAAGCCCACCCAACTTGGGGTGGATTAGTTCGAGTAACAGGCGGGCCAGCTGCGCAGGCGACTGTCGGAACAGCTTCTTGGACATTTCGAGGAACTCGTTCTGTTGATCACGAAGGCAGTTGCACTGTATGCCGAACGCGACCGACCCGATGACGTCGGTGGCGTAGCGAGAGAGCAGCGCACTGATCTCTACCTCGTGGGAGTCCGTCTTCTTGGCGTCCAGAGTCACCTGGCGGTTCAGCTCGTCACCAATATCGCGCATGAGGGGGAACATGAGCTTGAGCTTGCCCGACGTGAAGGAGGGGCTGAGCCTGTTGCGCAGGTTGCGCCACTTGGTGCCGCTCAGGTTGAACAGGTGCTGGCTCAGAGGGTCGTGCTCGTGGGAGGGTAGGCCGCGGTCGTGGAAGCTGCTGAAGTCCTTGGTGACCACCTGCTTCACCATCTCGGGGTCCCACACCAAGAGCAGCGGTTGCCCGAACTGGTACACTCCGCAATATCCGTTCTCTTTGTAGGGAGTGGCAAAGTCCATGAACGCCGTGGAGAAGCTCTTCGAGCGTGTTATCATGAAGGCGAAGTTGCCGACAAGGGGGAGGGGCTTGGGGTGGGGCACCCCCCTCTTCTTCCAGTGGCTGTAACGGTACTGGTAGTGCAAGTACATGAATGTGGGCACCAGGACCGCGGCGACCGCGGCCAGGATCGTCGTCAGGTCCATGCTGTTCGTGTGTCTCGTCGGAGCGGACTGGCAGGCGTGCCTCGCATCGGATCGCGGCACGCACAGTCGAGCGGCAGGCCGTGTGTTCAGCCCTACCCCTCCCCGTTCTCCGCCGCTGCCCCGCGGGCTCTGCCTCTCCCAGCCGTCGCCCCCCC